CGTATAAACAGTTGTTAATATAAACCAGTTTATAGACACCCTATCTACAAGCTGTTAGTGTATAAACAGTTGTTAATATAAACCAGTTTATAAATACCCTATCTGCAAGCTGCTAGTGTATAAACAGTTGTTAATATAAACCAGTTTATAAACACCCTATCTACAACCTGTTAGTGTATAAACAGTTGTTAATATAAACCAGTTTATAAATACCCTATCTGCAAGCTGCTAGTGTATAAACAGTTGTTAATATAAACCAGTTTATAAACACCCTATCTACAAGCTGTTAGTGTATAAACAGTTGTTAATATAAACCAGTTTATAAACACCCTATCTACAAGCTGTTAGTGTATAAACAGTTGTTTATACAAGCTCACCATGTTGCTGATATTTCTCTCACTCCAAATTTCCCAATATCTCCAATCATCAGAGTTTTAGTGATGTTTTGGAGAGATAAACGTCTCTTCGTTAAAAATCATTCACTTGGAGCCCTGGGAAAATTGACAGCTGCTATCAAAACGATTAAAGTCACTGCTCATTTAGATAAAGATAAACATTTATTTGACGTTTCTTGACAGATGAATACCTGGTTGGATGCCTGGAAAAAGAAGAAGGTTATTGAACTTAACCTTTAGAACTTAATATTCAACCTCTTTCTTTGAGTTTGAATTCCTAAAAGTTTAAACCGAATAAACTAGAAACTGGGTGATATACTTAAAGTATCACCTCCAACTCTTCGCGACAATGGTTTAAAATTGGTTAAAAATTACTTGGAGAGGAATGAAGAAACTTTCAACATGTATTCAGAAATATTTACTTTTAAGTTACATCATTTATTTGTATTTGTGGATTTAACATATCACGTGGTTATTGAGCTTAATATTATTACTTGTGAACGTCTTATATATATTAAAACAGTTTTCTTAACTTATATTCGTAGATGAGTTCTACTGTGATGTTTAAAATTAAATACAAAATTTTAATTTAACTTAAAGAAGTTTCGTTAATTAATTTTTCAAGAGTCCAAAACTATTTTTTTTTTTTTTTTTTTTTGCGTAAACGTAAACATCAAAATAAAACAGGGAACATTTTAAAGGTATGAACTCCGTGGATTGGGAGCATTTCAAAGGTATGAACTTGGTGGATCGGGAATATATTAAAGGTATGAACTCAGTGGATCGGGAGCATTTTCAAGGTATGAACTCAGTGGATCGGGAACATTTTCAAGGTATTATTTCGGTGGATCGGGAACATTTTACAGGTATGAACTCCGTGGATTGGGAGCATTTCAAAGGTATGAACTTGGTGGATCGGGAATATATTAAAGGTATGAACTCGGTGGATCGGGAACATTTTAAAGGTATAAACTCAGTGAATCGGGAACATTTTAAAGGTATGAACTTAGTGCATCGAGAATATATTAAAAGTATGAACTCAGTGGATCGGGAATATATTAAAGATATGAACTGAGTGGATCGGGAACATTTTAAAGGTATGAACTCAGTGGATCGGGAATATATTAAAGGTATGAACTCAGTGGATTAGGAATATTTTAAAGGTATGAATTCAGTGGATCGGGAACATTTTCAAGATATGAACTCGGTGGATCAGGAACATTTTAAAGGTATGAACTCAGTGGATCGGGAACATTTTAAGGATATTAATTCGGTGGATCGGGAACATTTTACAGGTATGAACTCAGTGGATCGGGAATATATTAAAGGTATGAGCTCCGTGGATCGGGAACATTTTAAAGGTATGAACTCAGTGGATCGGGAATATATTAAAGGTATAAACTCAGTGGATCAGGAACATTTTAAAGGTATGAACTCAGTGGATCGGGAATATATTAAAGGTATGAACTCAGTGGATCGGGAACATTTTAAAGGTATGAACTCGGTGGATAGGGGAACATTTTAAAGGTATGAACTCGGTGGATCGGGAACATTTTAAGGATATTAACTCGGTGGATCGGGAACATTTTAAAGGTATGAACCTGGTGGAGAATTATATAGCCATGTGTCAGATATACCAAATATTAATAACAAGCATTAGGTATGCCAACTGCATATATATTTATATATACTGATAAGTATTAGGTATGCCAACTGCATATATATT